TTGGGTAATTGTTGGAGCAATGTTGGTTATTAGTTGGCCCAATGTAGGGCCAACGCAGTTTGGTTGGGAATACGTTGGCAATGCGTTGGCATTAAAAAGACGTTCAGCCAACCGTTGGCCAAAGTGAGCACTTAGATGGAAACCCAACGTTGGGCCAACGTTGCATGGTCAACCAAGGCAACGTTGGGCCAACGTTGGCCCAACGTATGCATGCTATCTGGGTCCTGGGGGACCCGTTGGCCCTGCAGGACCAGTGGCACCAGTATCTCCTTTCAATCCTTTATCTCCTTTTAATCCTTTCGGGCCTAAGGGGCCAGTCGTGCCGTTTAATCCAGATGGCCCAGCAGCTCCTGTTGGTCCACTAGCCCCCTTGGGCCCAGTTTCACCTTGTTCCCCTTTCTCGCCCTTAGATCCAGCCATTCCTGGTAGCCCGTCCATCCCATCAATTCCATTTAAGCCAGGTGGGCCTGGTTCACCAGTGGGACCTTGGGGACCTGTAGATAAAAATAGTTTTTCACATAAAATTGCAAGTGTGAGCTCAGTAATTGGCACATGCAGAGGTGGGGAGACCATCAGCACATTAGTTGGCTCTTCTTTCATGTAGGGTCCACCGTATTTGATCCACAGATCTGTAGATCCAAAGATTATCTGTTGTGAATGCCCTCTAAATTACTTATGTCTATTGTTCCTCTTAAAGCATCTGAACCATAGGCCACAGACAAGGCTAAAATAAAGAGTACAGATGAATTGGAACCAATTGCAGAGAGTTGACCACAACAGGGATGGATAGAGGGACAGCTGCTATTACTGATCACTCTGCTCACAGTTTCTACTTTGGTTAAAAAAAAATACAAGTAAAAAAAACTCACCAGCCTTTGCTTTTCCCGTGGAGGATGTAGTCTGTACTATCAAGGTGGTTGTGCTGGTTGAAGCTGGTTTGGTAGGAAGGGGTGTGGTCTTCTCTGTGGTGGTTGTAGGGGTGGTGGTGGTCGTCGAGGTGGTGGTCGTGCTGGTGGTTGTTGAGGAAGTGGTGGTGGTTGAGGTGGTGGTGGGGGTCGTGCTGCTGCTGGTGGTGGTGGTTGCGGTGGTGGTAGGGATCTGAGTGGACAATTGCTGTGCACTTGCTCCTATACCACTGCAGACTACACCACCGCTGATTGGCCCTGGGATTGATAAGATAAGTAAAAAGGCCATTTCATTTACAAAAGACTGGGCCACACATGTTAGAATGTTTCAAAAATAAAAGCATATATATCCTCTTGCACACTGTATTGACTGCATTCAGGCAAGATATGCTGTTTTTATTAACACATCAGGATTCCAAACAGGAACAGTGGCTAAAGTCTAATGTGATGAAGTAGTCATTGTATATGTAATATGTATCATCTTAGTTTAAGCTGTCAATACATACCATCATCAATCAGGGCTGCAACAGAATATTTGTAGGGAGTTTCTTCATTTAATGTAACAGTGGAATAAGACTGACCAGGTGATTCTTTTCTGAATAATTCATATCCAGTTTCCAAAGCGAAGGTTATCACTGACACATCTGGCTCATAATCCCATCCTATATAGTACTTGTTTGTGCTAGGCAGATAGCAAGGGGTGGTCAGATTCACCTGGAAATAGACACTCCTAGCTGTAATTGAATAGTAAAAAATAATGAAAGGTCCCTTTTTCCAAATCTCTGTCACTCTCTTGCTTCATCTAAGACTGCAGATTTTAGATCGATCTATCCCCATGGAAAGTCTCACTAGATGACTGTCAGCTTAACTGGCTTAAATGTCTGTCCCGCCTACTAAAAGCTGTAAGGGGGTAATTAACTTCTGTGCGCGCTCGGCTGACCGCAATTTAGCGTGAACTCCCAGGGAGTTAGGATGATCCAGATGGATCGATCTAAATCTGTGGGAATGCAGTCTAAGAGATCAGGTATTCATCAAATTACCCCTACAATTTTAGAAAATTTGGATGAGAATAGTTTTCTGAAAACTAAAACAATACAAAAAATTCTTTTCACTTTTAACTGTCGAATATTATTCTGATTTTAAAAAATTAACTCAGTCCTCTGCTTGTATGTACAATTAAAAACATTTTTTTTCCAATTTACTCATTCATTTTCACCACTTTTTGTACCAAAATGCTGCTATTGTTAAATTGATCTTACCCATTGCAACCCAGTACCAGTAAAATGTCCAGGAACACAGTATTCCATTGAAAATGTCATAGAATCAAGTTTTCTCCAAATCTGAAAAGTGATTCCCAGTGCAAAATTGTCCTGGACATTGTATTTCTCATGCTTAGGACTGACAAAAGCTGCAAACCCATACAAGTAGGTGTCTTGCAGGTAGTGTTGTCCATCTACAAACAGGAAGTCACTACCTATGTAGCTGTCATAAAATGGCTGAAGTGTCACAGGTCTGGAGAGATAAGGAACACCACCTGCAAAGAACATTTAGCTTTGGTCAGAAAAACTCCAATTTAAGCATGTTGCTGTGTTAAGTTTACATTCCATTCACTTGAAGTTTTGTATAGTGCAATGCTACATATGTGGCTTAAGTCTTTAAAACTTGACAATATTTCCAAGTATTTCGAATTTTAATTATTAAAATAAGATGGATGTTACCTGAGAAGTTTACATTGTATATCCACACTATACAGTAAAGAAGAACACAGTTACAAACACCCTAAAAATAAAGAGCATATATACATAAGTAAAATGAATTAAGATGCCAAATAAAACGTTTAATCATTTCAAAGAAAATATTTGTTAAAATGTGTTTTGAGGAAGTCATTCCATGAAAATGCATTGGTGTAAATGTCGACAGGAATTATCTAAAGTAATGGTTTAATTTCAATGCCACAGATTATAACCGCACATTTACAGGGGCCCACTAATTATACTGAGTTACAATATATCATTTACTTTGACACACGTAAAACTTGGTAATCAAATTAAAATACAGCTACCTATTAAAAGAATATCAAAACCTACATCGAGAGGGTGTTTTCTAAGAGAAATAAAAATTTACTTACGGGGAATATATATTTTTATATGCATTGGCTTACTTACTTTCCACTCCATCTCTTAAGAGAAAAGATATTTTCACTAAGGTTGTATTTTGAAGAAACCTTCCAAATATTGCCACCAATTCACAAGAATTCCCCTTGTCGGTATAAATATATGTTTCATGTATAAGCCGGTATACTGCAAAACGGTAAAGTAACCGCCTAGTCAAGCACAACCCTCTCCCGGAGGCCCTTTCGCTTTGCGTGTCGCAAGTTCATCCAAACTGACCGCCGCGGACTAGTTGTCACTTGACAAATAGATTGTGAAACAACCATCGCCATCTATTGGACAACTGGGAAGTTAACTGCTATCAAAAAACTTTAATCAATGTGAACGTGAAATGAAAACGACTTTTCATGGAATTAAGACCGACTGTAAAAATGAGTAAAATTTCGCCACATTTTAATTAGCTTCTCCCTGATTTACTAACGATCGCTTTTTAACCTGCAAGGTTTTGTTAAAATTGACATATTTGAATATGTACTTTACAAGTTTTTTTACTCTTGTTACGGTTTAATATATCGCAATGCAGTAAAAATACACCAGCTAAGTTTAAAAGTTATTCTACAAAATACGTTTATGCCAAAGTGGAAAACGAAACTTTACGTCAGAAAAATAGATAGATCAATAATAATAAAGTAAATAATAATAATTATTATTATCAACAACCCTTTTTATGGAGTGTAATAATCATTTACTTTAGATTATACATAATGCTTTTCATCACATGAAATGACCCACAGAGATCTCATATGACGCTGTAGGATGCGTCAGCTCGGCACGCAATATTTTTTCTACACTTTTTCCACATATCTGCTTTTAATATACGATTATTTTTCCTGATGATAGAAGGGAAATTTATGCTTTGTCATTATTCTCAAACTGCGTTACATGTTTAATGAAAAATAAGTCTACTTGCCCCACATGTTATGCATATATTTATTCTAACAAAATTGCCGACCCATCCTAAGATAGCGTATCGTTTCACGTGTAGCTTATAAAATACCATTTACTTCTCAGATAAGCTACTTTCATTGAGTCGAATTTTTTCTACATTTTCGATTCAAACATTTACTCAGACGAGCGATAAACAATACCGACACTAAAATGGTGAGCGCAATAAGCCATAGTGTAAATCCTTCAGACTGTTTACTAGATTCTCCTTCATTGTGCAACTCCAAGGCGTTGCTGTGTTCCAGGCCTCCAAGCTCTGAGGTATGTTTCAACGCACCCGGGAAATCGTCAAAAATAGGCCGCATACAGGAGTAACTGCCCGGGGTGTTGATGCATTGTTTCTCAAAGCACAGAAAAGGAGAGAGGGTACACTCGTTTATATCTGAAATTTAAACGGCATTAATAATCAATGACAATAAATAATCAAATGAATAAATGAATGAAAACTAAATTTACTTTGATGTTAAAATTCACTTTTATTAGATTTATAAATCAAAGGTTTGATAAGAATTGCTTAAATTATATGTCCACTTTCGACATTCAGCTGATACACTGTACATCTATGCAGAGGCAGAAATAACACAACAAAACTTATGAAACGTATGAATTATGTTAGAAACTTAAAAGAAACTGACCAGTACATCGGTGGTTGTCCAGAGCTAACTGATACCCCAGTCCACAACTGCACACGTAGCCTCCCACAGTATCTGTACACGTCCCCTGGCAGCCGCCGTTCCCAAAGGCACATTCGTTCATGTCTGAAAAATAGGAAATGCAGGGATGCCATATTCTTAGGAAACTAGTTAATCAATTGGTTTATAAGTTTTTTACTTTCATTCTTGAGGTAATGTAGGTAAATATTTTTATATCGGTTTTCTGGCAATATGGGTGCACACAATCTTTGAATTTCATGCCGAAAATTTGTTTTAACTCTTAGTGTTAGGTCATATTTAGATTTATTCTTGCCAGGAATACTAACTGACACATTTGGATCCGTTTAACATAGTTATCGCACCGGATTCTTCTTCACACACACAAATTGGTTGCCCATGCAAAGTGCCCAAACAACGGACATCTGCAGTTTCCAAAACTGGAAGAAGAGGAGAAGGAGGAGGAAGAAGCAAAGACAGACTAAAAACGAGCCAATTAAAATATGTATAGCAAAAGAGTCTGTTAAAGAATAATGCTTTACACCAGGTCCATTTCACCTGCTGAAGTGTTCAAAAATAAAATTGAATGAATTTAAAGTTGTGTTCAATTTTTTATAACATATATGGGTACAGAACAAAAATCAACGACTGTCTCAATTTAAATTCAAATTTTAATTTTTACCATGTCTTTTCATTACGCAAAGAGCCTAAATGGTAGCGTATGTTCCGGAAACGTATGGTTAACTTTTTTTACTGTGTATTTTCCCAGTTTCTTTAATATTCAGTGACAAGCAAACTAAAGCCGCTCAAGGTTTTTATAATTTTTTTATAACGCTACGCTTGTAGGAGATATATCAAAGACCGAAACCAGTGATGGTTGAATTTCAAAGTCATGTGGAACCCTAAAATAATCAAACATAGTTTGCAATCTGTGTACTAAATACTTTTAGGAGCATGCCTGTGACATCAATTGCACCTCTATATTAGGTTTGGGTGTTTAACGCTCGTTTTTGTGGTGGTTTTACATCAACTGTCAATCGTTTTAATATTCTACAGCATTAACCTTTATTATTATAATTATTTATAATTTTTTTATTTTATACTTTATTATTATATATATTAACATTAACATTAACTACTAACCTTCCTCCTTGCAGGTGCGCTCATACAGATCGGTTCCTTGGTTATGCTGTGCAGTGTGCCCTGGTAGCATGCCCGCAGTATAGGGAGTTAGACCACAGTTACCGAACTTGTCGTACACAATGCTCCTACAGAAGAAGCTATCCTCTCTTTCACAAAGAGCTTGGCACTGTTCCACCGTCTGTACAGGTTGATATGTTACGCTTGGTCGAACTGTCATGTTGGAG